ACTCACTTTTATTGCTCTACAGTAGTTTATTTAATCACACAAAACTCAGTGAGGTGGATGGTGGTCACCTCATTTTCAAGCTGAGAAACCTGAGAATGAAAACTTAACTTCTCCAAAGATACACAGCCAGTGAAAATCAGAACAGAGGTTCATTCCCACGCCTGCTTCATTCTAAATCAGCCTGTTTTCTTTTAGCTACACCCACTCCGCATTTCCTAAGTTTAATCATATTTGAGAAGCTGATGTTTGCTTTGCTGGGTGCTCTGTTCGATATGCAAGCATGATTTTGCTTTGAAGTTGATTTTAGTGTGTCAGATGCTCAGGGGATATTATGTTCTTTTTGTCATGCAAGAATACTTTCATTGGATCAATTTCAAACATTATCCAAATTCACAAGTACATTTTGCTTTATCACCATACTTTTTTGAAATAAAATTTTTCTGATTTGTAATCACTTTAATCCAGAGGGACATCTAGAGTGTGGAGGTGCCATCCCCAGAGGAGAGAGAGGGGTCCTTGCCCACACCAGGCCCTCAGTTTAGGGTTTCAAAGCTGGGAAGAGACATCCCCATAACTTCTAGCCGTAAAAACAGCAGGGATTGTTGCTGAATCACATGGAGGCTACTGGAGTCCCAGGCAGTTCTGAAACTGGACAACAAAGGGGTCTGGACTATCTGTCACTGCTTGAGCCAGACAGAGACAGGATTGAATCATATCTGCACATTTATTCCAATACTGCCAGCAGTATGGGAGAGCAGCAGTTCATCCATGAAAATCTGCTCTGCATTCCCCCATAAGCTAGTGGCTTATGTTGGGTAGGACAAAACTTATATGGGGAAGTAGGCAAAAGAAATAAGAATGGGTATGCAGAATGAGTATAACAGGCATGGGGAAGTAGACAATGAAGACTGGAGCAAGACTCCTTTGTTTAGTTAATAAGGTTGTTAATCTTTCCATGATAATAAGCAGTTCTCCAATGACAGTGGACTGCATTCCAAGATTAATCCCTAGGTCGAAGATTGACTCCTAGGTCCCTGAGGCATACAACTCCTAGCTAGGTGAGAATGTGCTTCATTTAATTAGAACAAAATAATCAAGGTTAACAGAACATGATTAAAATTTTTATAATTATAGCTAGTCTCCAATATTCTATTTCTGCCCTTAGTTCCTTTTAAAGGTCCCATGCATGGACTTATTCAGACTTACTCCCTCTGAGCTCTAGCATTTAGGCAGTAGCTTGAAAAAATCCAGGGACATACAGGAAGGAAATAAGTTGTCTGACATTAGCAAGAACTGGGAGACAGCTTTCTCCCAGACAAAAGTAGTGACAGAGGTCATTGTTCCTCTGTTGAGACCTCCCATGCCACAGTGCTAAAAGGCAGTTGCGATATCGGAGTTTCCATCAACCTTGTTCATACTGTTCATCCCACCATGCTGATTCCCTGAGATCCTGCCCCACCCACCTTGCAGCCCATCTAAACTATTTGCAGTGGCTTTTCCATACAAATGGCCTGTCCTGGCTCAGGCTTTAGACTTTCCTAAAATCTCTCAAACAAGTAGAAGCTATACTCAATTTGCCCCATACCTCTTGACAAGTTGATGCCTGGCCTAGCACTAACAGCAGCTTGCCAAAGTTCACAGCTTGGCCTCTCCTGGGCACCTCCAAGCCCAACACAAATAGCAGCAATCTGCAGATGTTCTGTAGCTCATGTCAAGTGACCAAGTAGGGCACAGGCAATGGCTGACTTTGTACCTCCCAGGAGGCCCCAGAGCCAGGGCACCCAGTGGACAGCTTCAGACCACACCAGATTACAACTCTACCACATCCACCAGTGACACACTCAGGGGCAGACTTAATGAGCACCAAAGCCCCAACGAAGCAAGTCCTGTTCATAGGAGGGTCTCCTGCATAGCAGTTTTTCTGCTATAGTCACAACTGGTCCTCACAGCCAGTTGGCCTGGATGTCAATTCCTCCCAATGATGCTAACAGCAATCAAGACTCAACTACAACAGGACAGTGCACACAGTGCACACAGGGGCGCACCTAAAATGCCCAGCTCAGGTGCCTGGGCAGGCTGAGCCACTGGGCCTTACAGGACACATTACACAAGGCCACTCCACCAATTCCAGGAGAAATAGCAGCTCTACCTAATACATAGAAACAAATACAGGGAGGCAGTCAAAATGGGGATACAGCCGAAACCGGTTTGGCTCAGCAGTAGAGCGCCAGTCTGCGGACTGAAAGGTCCCAGGATGCAGGCACATCCCCGGTGGGAGGTGTGCAAGAGGCGGCTGGTCGATGTTTTTCTCTCATCGATGTTATTAGCTCTCTATCTCTCTCCCTTCCTCTCTGTAAGAAAAATCAATAAAATATCTTTTTTTTAAATGGGGATACAAACATGTCACAAGTGAAAGAGCAGAAGAAATATCAAGAAAAAAAATAAATGAAATGGAAGCAAGCAAACTACTAGATACAGAGTTCAAAACCATGATTATAAGGATGCTCAAGGAACTTAATGAAAGTTTTGAGGAATTTAGTGTGAATGTCAAGGAACTTAGTGAGAATTTCAAGGAAGTTAGTAAGAACATCATAGACATGAAAAAGGACCAGTCAAAAGTGAAGGATAATTTACAGTAGAGTAGAGGATGCTGAGAATCAAATCAGTGATTTGGAATATGAGGAAGTAAAATCCCAATCAGAAGAGCAAAAAGAAAAAATAACCCAAAAATATGAAGATAGTGTAAGGAGCCTTTGGGATAACTTCAAGGATACCATCATGTGCATCATGGATGTGCCAAAAGGAGAAGAAAGGGAATAAGAAATTGAAAACCCATTTGAAGAAATAATGACAGAAAACTTTCCCTACCTGGTGAAAGAAATAGATGTACAAGTTCAGGAAGCAAAGAGAGTACCAAAAAAGAGGAACACAAAGAGGCTCATAGTTAAAATGCCAAAGTTTAAAGACAAAGAGAGAATCTGAAAGCAGTGAGAGAAAAGCAGTTAGTTACCTACAAGGGAGCACCCATACAATGATCAGCTGATTTCTCAACAGAAACTGCAAGTCAGAAGGAACAGGCAAGAAATATTCAAAGTGATAAAAACCAAGGACATACAACTAAGATTACTTTACCAAGCTGTATCACTTAGATGGTCAGATAAAGAGCTTCATAGACAAGAAAAAGCTATAGGAGTTCATCACCACCAAACCAGTATTACATGAAATGTTGAAGGGTATTCTTTAAGAAGAGGAAGAAGAAGAAAAAGATTAAAAAACAACAACAACAAACAAACAAAAAAAAAAACATGAACAATAAAATGGTAATAAATACCTATCTATCAACAATAGAATATAAAAAATCAAACAAGGAATTTAATGAACAAAATAAACTGATGAATAAAATAGAACCAGATTCATGGAAACCAAAACAGACTGATGAATCTCAGAGGGAAGGAGGGAAGAGATTAATTAAAAAACTTATATGTATACTAATAGCCCTTCGGGCAATATCTCGCACAGTAGGCCGCCGGCCACTTCTGCGGGAGCCGGCGGGAACCGCAGCACTGCTGGCAGCCGCAGTGCTTCCACAGGAGGCAGGAGGGATCCACGTTTACTCCTCTCTGGGTCTGAGCTCAGCTGCAGAGGCTGCGGGCCGGCCCCCCTGTCCCTGTCCGTGTATGCTCTGGCTATGGGGGGGCTGGCCCTAGCTGGTATGGCAATGAAGCACACTGCCCGCTCTCAGTGGCCACCCCCTCAGGACTGGGGGACTCCAGTGGGGCTGAAAGGACTGGGCGCCATCTTGTGGCTATGGGCGCCACCATCTTTGTGACAGAGTGACAGTTAATTTGCATATTACCCTTTTATTAGGCTATGCAATACCTATGGACACAAACAATAAGATGATGAAAGCCTAGGGAAGATTGGGATCAGGGTGGAGGAGGGCAGTGTGTGTAGGGGGGAGAGGGGGAGGTGAGGGGGAATGGGGCAGCATCTGTAATTCAACAATAACGATTTTAAAGATGAATAAAGAGAAAATATGTGCATAAGCCTACAATTAGAGTTAAAAATAGGCCAGATTTCTCTCACATGATCCTTCTTTCACTGGCTCCTCCAACTTTGTCAGCGTTTTTGTTTTTTTTTAATATTGCAGTACATTCACTTATTTTCCTTTTTGCTGTGGTCCCCGTAAGCATGATCAACTGATCAGTTACCACATATGCTGCGATTTCCACGGATTCTGCAAGTTTTTCAAGTAAGAAATTTATCAAGGGGAGTTTCCTGCCTTAGCCTTGGCAGTAAACTTTTTTTTAAAATATATTTTATTGATTTTTTACAGAGGAAAAGAGAGGGACAAAGAGTTAGAAATATTGATGAGAGAATAATCGATCAGCTGCCGCCTGCACACCCCCTACTGGGAATGTGCCTGCAACCAAGGCACATGCCCTTGACCAAAATTGAATCTGGGACCTTTCAGTCCATAGGCCGATGCTCTATCCACTGAGCCAAACCGGTTTCAGCAGCAGTAAACTTTTTGTGTTATGCTACATTTACAATGAGATCGCTACTAATCTGTAGTCAGTAGTATACATGCTATGCCCTAGTGAGTATTCAAGTATTTATTGGCCATGTCTTAGATAGTTTATTAGAAATAGTGATGCCATTAAAACCCCTCATCTGTTTTTCTCTTATTTTTGCCAGCCGGTAGGAATTGGGTTCATTATTGACTCTGGAATGGAAATTTTTCTGAGCAAAGTTGATAAAGCTATTACCTCCATGTTTTAAGAAATTTTTACAGGATAGGCTTGCATGTGTCGGTTATTTATTAATTACAGATACCAGGAACAATTCTTTTTGACAAATGTTTTTAGATATGCTTAATCTGAGAATATTCTTAGAAAAATATTCAATATTTACCTCAGAAAAGGTAACCTTTTTAGTAATTTAGTCAATACCATCTATTATTCTTTTAATGAAAGTTTTTTCCCAATCTTTTATTTCAGCTCCAGTGTGCTGCTCTGCTCGTTACAACTTAGCAGTTTTGGCCTTTTTTGGTTTCTTCGTTCTCTATGCATTACGTGTGAATCTGAGTGTTGCATTAGTGGAGATGGTTGATTCAAATACAACTTTAGCAAATAATAGAAGTTCTCAGGAGTGTGCAGAGCATTCTGCTTCCAATAAAGTTATTCGTAATCAAACAGTAAGTACTATTTCTTTTTTAAAGCAAGCAATCTTAATCTTAAAATATATCTAAGTAAAAATATTGCAAGGTCTTTCTTCATCCTACAAAAAATCAAAAAAATTTCTTCATGTAAATTCTCAATCACTATCTTTTGTGTTTTTCCAGGAACTGGTTGGACAGTAACTTATAACTAACTTTTGCTATTGTGCTGTAATACTGGTAGCATGTAAATATACCTTGATCTGTTTGAAAAGTTGTCATTTCCACTATAAACATATTACTCTTAAAGAAAATACGTACAGGGGGTAGCCAATCAATGATTCTATCTCATCATTGATGTTTCTATCTCTCTCCCCCTCTCTTCCTTTCTGAAGTCAATACATTTTTTTTTTTAAGATGGAAGTACAAAAATTAGAGGAAAAACAAAAGTCTACTCAGACCCCCTTCCTAATTGCCTTCAGATATTTGCAGATACTGTTTTTTGTTTTTTGTTTTTTTTTAAATAAAGACAATGGGAGTACAATTATCTTTCAGTTAAGAAGGAAAAAATTGGCAAAATCTTATTAAAAGACAACTTAAATGTTTGTGTCCTAAGAACTCAGCTTGGTAACCATCAGGTTGGAAGCTCCAAAACATGGTCAAACGAATATGGGCTAAACTCTTATAGGCAGAGTCCAACCAAACTGCTGCCAGTCCTTGAGAAAAGTGTAACCTAAAATTACAATGGCAATTGTGCCTAATGTTCCAATTAGATTAAATCATTTGAAGTGCACTTAAAAGCAAAGACTTGCAAATCAAATAGAATGAAATGCCTCTTTTTAAATATTGTAGCTGTAGCCAAAACCAGTTTGGCTCAGTGGATAGAGTGTCAGCCAGCGGACTGAAAGGTCCCAGGTTCGATTCCAGTCAAGGGCATGTACCTTGGTTGCGGGCACATCCTCAGTAGGGGGATGTGCAGGAGGCAGTTGATCGATGATTCTCTCTCATTGATGTTTCTAACTCTCTATCCTTCTCCCTTCCTCTCTGTAAAAAAAATCAATAAAATATATTTTAAAGAATATTATAGCTGTGAAACAAAGAGAAAACCAGCTAGTGTCACAGAACTCATCCCAGTAAGGTGAAAATCGTTAGGTGGTTATTAAAAAGAGGAGGGAGTAAATAAAATGGGCATTAATGGGGTTAAAACAAAGCTTTTACTATGGTACTACAAAAGGTTGGATGGACCAAAGTGGCCCCTTGTTAGTCCTCCAACATTAAAGGGCCTTAAACAAATCTGTTCTATTTACCCCAGTTTAGAAAACTTTAAAGTCAGAAGGCAGAGATTACAATGAGAAACCTGACCAGCAGTCATTTGGGGCAGCAGTCAGGCTGGTTATTCAAGTTAAAGATTGAAAACAGGGTCAAAACCGGTTTGGCTCAGTGGTAGAGCGTTGGACTGCGGACTGAAAGGTCCCAGGTTCGATTCCGGTCAAGGGCATGTACATTGGTTTCGGGCACATCCCTGGTGTGGGGGGGAAGGTGCAGGAGGCAGTTGGTTGATGTTTCTCTCTCATCGATGTTTCTAGCTCTCTATCTCTCTCCCTTCCTCTCTGTAAAAAATCAATTATATATATATTTTAAAAAAAATTTTTTTTTTTTTTTTTAAAGAGAAGAAAGGAAAACAGGGCAGGATCCCTTGGCTAGACCTTCACTGGGGACCTTTTTACACAATTGTGGATAAATTTCCAGGACTCCTGACTCAGGCTTCAATTAGATTAAAATAATATAGAATATAGGGATTGGTAAGATTATGAAAATATGAATGTTTAAGCAAGCTTTATGTAAAGTTACTGGGTCTCTTTTACCTGATGTATTATAGGGGTGGACATTATTTCTCACTGGGAAACATTTCCCTTGCCTACTTTATGAAATGAAAGGCATATAAATTCACCACTCAAGCAGTATTAATTAGACATGCTAAAGAAGAAGATTGTTGGAAAGAGAGAATGAGAAATTAAAGAGATAAAAGGTACCTAAAATAGAAGACTATATGACTGACATTACTCCTTCCAGCTGATTTTCCTCAGATAGTTTTCACACCTTGATCTAAGGCCAAATCTAAAGGCCATAATTAGATAATTCTTAAACTCAGGGAGGATGCCCAAAAGTTTTTGTAAATGGATTACCTCATGAGCCCAGTGAGAGAGGGAAATCAAATTTCACACTGTTCCTTCCTTCTCAAATCCAGACCAATTGATTATTGATCCTTTTTCTCCTAGGGATAGCTATTGCCTGTGTCCTATGGGCTTGGAGTGGCTTTCTGCTTGCCTACAACATGCAGACTGTCAGTGTTTTCCTTTGCCTATCAGAGGAAATGACTCTGGAAGGTAATGACTTCTGCATCCTCTTCAGTCTGTGGGGAAGGAAGAAACTTTTCCTATACCCTTGCAGTTCTTTCGGCTGGTCTAATAATCAAATACACATGAGACAGAGTAACAAGAGAAAATAACCGCATTTAAAACATCTACATGGAACACCCCCCCCCCCCCATACATGAGAGAGTGAGAGACCTTACACACATGAGAGGTTCAGGGATAGAAAGTTAAAATGAGGTATACAGAGTACCCTTCCCCCCGCAAAAAAAAAAAAAAAAAATGTATTCACACTTTAACAGCTGATAACAGCTGATAGTTCAATTTTGAAAATTGAATATATTTAATAAACTACCTTTATAATTATGCAAAGTGTGAATATGCATTTGGGGGGGATAATCCTATATTAGAGATGGGGCCCTGAAGGATTCAAGAGTTCATTACAGAACTATAGGGAGAGAAGATGTTTAGAATTAGAAATTTGTCCTGCCTTATAGATAGGCCATAATAAGTTATTTCTAGTAATAACTCTTATTATGGGCAAAGTCCCTAGTTCTTTGAGAGGTAAAAGTTTCTCATAAGCCTGCAACGTCTTAATGTCTTCAGCTCAAAATAATACACATTGCAAAGTAGCACACTTGGGGAGGTCTGTTCTGAGTCCCTACAAGTCCATGGTATTGTTTCATACTGCCAGAAATATTGTCCCAGTTGAAACCTGACAAGACACTTGAAAAGATTTAATAACTTTTTGCTCAGTGGTTGGAGCTTTGGCCCACGAACTGAAAGGATCTCAGGTTGATTCCCGGTCAAGGGTACATACCTAGATTGCAAGTTAACTCCCCACCACTGGTCGGGATGTGTATAGTAGGCAGCCAATTTATGTGTCTCTCTCACATCGATATTTCTCTCTCCCCATCCCCTTACACTCTCTGAAAAGCAATGAAAAGAATATCATGTGAGAATTAACAAAACAAACAAACACAAGAAATTGGGCAAAATTGGAAGCTAAAGGTTTTTAAAAAGCCTCCTCCTCTAAGCTAAAATAAAGAAATATATAGTCAGAGGGAAAGAAGAAAATTAGGAAGATGTAGTTGTCACAATTGTATTGTAGTTAAAACACAATTCTTTGGGGAATTGAGAACAATTGTCATTACCTTACAAATCTGTGAAATCAGAAATGCAACTGTAGAAGTTATTTAAACCCTGTGACTTGGGACCGCTGAGAACTAACACTGTCTTTTTCCCAAAGTCAGTAAGAGCTAAAGTTGGACAACTTGATGTAAGCTTCAGAGAAATCCTCACTACAGCTCATATACAGACAATCTTTTTGCCTATTGCAGAAAGATCACAAGAGACATTCAGACTACATATCAAGAAAATCCATCTACTATCTGCCTTCAATCTTTTTGAAAAATGATTCAAGCCAGATATCTAGAAATCTTAACTGCCTTCAGAATTCAGAACTGGGATTATAGTCTGCTCAATCATTAACTATAGAGGCCCGGTGCATGATATTTGTGCACAGGGGGTCCCCTTAGCCCAGCCTACACCCTCTCCAATCCAGAACCTTTCAGGGGATGTCCGACTGCTGGGATTGGGCCTAAACCGGTAGCTGGACATCCCTCTCACAGTCCTGGACCATTTGCTCCTAATTGCTTACCTGCCTGCCTATCTGGTTGCCCCTAACTGCCACCCACCACCATTGGCTTGATCGTCCCTCACTGCCTCTGTGTCCTGGCCTGATCTCTCCTAATTGCCCTCTGCCAGCCTAGTCACCCCTAACTGCCCCCCACTGCTGTCCAGGTGGCCTCCAACTGCCCCCCTCTGCCAGTCTGGTCATCCCTCACTGCTGGCCTGGTCACCCCACACAGCCTGCATTTTAGTCGTTCGGTCATCCCTCATTAATCCTCTCTACCCTTCCCCCCCCACCCACCTCCCTGCCAGCCTGGTTGTAGGTAGCCATCTTGTAAGGGTGTGAGGGTAAATTTGCATATTACCTCTTTATTATATAGGATAGTTTTTCTTTTATTTCCATAAGGATACCTCCTAAATACTTGATTGTTTCACCAGAGACCTAACTTTGGAACTCAGCTGCATCACTGGCTCCTGAAATAAGATAATCAGTTCAATTAAACTGATCTATTTTTTTAGACTGAGACTGCTTTACTGAGATATAAAACAATCTATCAACCTAGTTTTTAGAATGTATAACTTCTCAGGAAGTTTCAAAGGCAGGACTGCAGGGGTTCAGAAGAGGCCACCCCAAGATGTGCCCCTTTGACATGTGAATTATTTTGAGTTGCAGCCTTGGGAGAAACTTTTACTGCTCCCTTAAAGAATTTAAATTAGGGGCCCAGTGCCAGGGCAGGCGGTGCAGCCTGAAATCCCCTGTCAAGCCCCACTAGGCAGGAGGTTGCAACCTGAGGTCCCCTGGTGCCAGGGCGGGGGGCACAAATTGAGGTCCCCTATCAAGCCACACCAGGTAGAGGGCATACCTTGAGTTCCTCCATCAAGCCCTGCTCGGCAGGGGGCACAGTCTGAGATTCCTTGTCAAGCCCTGCTGGACTGGACGGGGGCACAGCCTCAGGTCCTCTGTCAAGCCCCGCCCGCCAGGTGGGATGCATAGGCTCAGGGCCCCCATCAAGCCCTGCCTGGTGGAGGGCGTGGCCTGAGGTCCCCGTAAACCCCTGCCGAGCAGGGGGCGCAGCCTGAGGTCCCCGGTCAAGCCCCACTGGGCAGAGGGCACAGCCTGAGGTCCCCTGCCCCGGCCCAGCACCATGCAGCCACAGGTCCCTGCTGATTGCTCCTTAAGGCTTGTTATGGGAATTTGGCCTCCACTGTGGCTAAAGCCATGTTGTGTTATGGAAATCCCGCCTCCGCTGTGGGCGCTGCCATCTATGTGATGTGTGATGGTCAATTTGCATATCCCCTCTTTATTAGATAGGATAATTCCCCTTTCTGTTTCTGAACCTTATGTTTGTGAGGTCTCTTACTCCATATGTATGGTATGTGGGTTCTCACACATAAGTAATTAAATTTGGTTATTTTCTCTTGTTACTTAACTGTCTTATGTAGATCTAATTATTAGAAACTGAAAGAACCTAGGAGGGTAGGTTCTTCTTCCCTCACACCAGAAAATTTGATTGTTTAATGTATTGCTAAGTAGTTTTTATGTGTCGATTATTTAATAACTGTTTTACTTATAAAGCTACTGTTGGCAAGAGAACTTACATCATCTAAACTACAGGATGAAAAATAAGATTAGATCAATTTCTTAGGACATTCTTTTCCAAAATTTATACATACCTACACTAAGTCATTTAAATCACTTTGTCTGGCTTATATTATAGTAGAATTGATCATTGTGATTATCATTTGTTCAGAATTGAGTTTTAAACACTTTAAATACAGTCATGTGCCACATAATGACAGGGATTCACTCTGAGAAATGTATCATTAGGTGATTTTGTCATTGTGTGAATGTTATAGAGTGCCCTTACACCAATCTGGATGGTATAGCCTACTACACACCTAAGCTATATGGTATATGGCCCAATGGTCGGCAAACCGTGGCTCACAAGCCACAATTGGCTCTTTGTCCCCTTGAGTGTGGCTCTTCCACAAAATACCACATGGAGGCGTGCACATACAGTGCGATTGAAACTTCGTGGCCCATGTGCAGAAGTCAATTTTCGGCCTAGGCGAGTCTATTTTGAAAAAAGTGGTTCTAATGCCAAGTCACACTCAAGAGGACAAAGAGCCACATGTGGCTCGCAAGCTGCGGTTTGCGGACCACTGGTATAGCCTATTGCAGTGTAGGGTTCTTGACTAGACATCCCTGAAATAAAATACAGATTAACAGGAGAAAAGGCTCACAAGCTGCGGTTTGCGGACCACTGGTATAGCCTATTGCAGTGTAGGGTTCTTGACTAGACATCCCTGAAATAAAATACAGATTAACAGGAGAAAAGGCTCACAAGCTGCGGTTTGCGGACCACTGGTATAGCCTATTGCAGTGTAGGGTTCTTGACTAGACATCCCTGAAATAAAATACAGATTAACAGGAGGAAAAACAAACAAAAGTTTGATAGCATGTCCACTTCCTTTAAACATGAGAGAGACTCAGGAAAACTGAGTAAACTGCCAAATGGCTGAAGCCACTACCTTAAAGATCATCTTCAGCTAAAGACAAAGGAAGATGTTGGGGATCTAGGGAGTCACTTATTTTCCATTCACTTCTAGAAACTGTATCTGTATCATGGTGGCTCACCTACCTTGTAGGAAGTTTGCTTGTTTGTCAGTCTAAAAGGAAAAGCAACTTTGTCAGTTCAAAAGGGTAAGTTTGTTATGGAGATTTAAGTCATGTACTTCTTCACTGAGATGAGGTCATCCCCATTTTCGAGGTATAGAGAGAAAAACACCCTTACAAATGGAGATATCTTAAAATCTAAATGTCCTTTATTTTATTTTATTTTTTTAAAATATTTTTTTAATATATATATATTTTTAAATATATTTTATTGATTTTCACAGAGAGGAAGAGAGAGGGATAGAGACTTAGAAACATCGATGAGAGAGTCATCGACCAGCTGCCTCTTGCACACCCCCTACTGGGGATGTGCCCACAACCAAGGTACATGCCCTTGACTGGAATCGAACCCAGGACCTTTCAGTCCACAAGCCGACGCTCTATCCACTGAGCCAAACCGGTGCTGGCCTTTATTTTATTTTTGTTGACACTATTACAGATGTTCTCCATTCCTCCCCCCCTTTGCCCACCTACACTCAGCACTCCCACTTCCCTGGCCTTCATCACACTGTTGTTTGCAAAGATGGGCTATGGATGTAAGTTTTTTAGCTAATCTCTTCACAGGGTAACTTATACTTGGTTTTCAGAGCTTCTCCCATATATGTTATTTAAAGTAAAGTTAACCAGCCTAACATAACCCTTATGCCAAATAGACATATTTGGGGCTTAACAAATTTTATTCCCCTTCAGTTCCTAGGCTATCAACCTATAGAGCATGTACTAAATACTATAGGCAATTGTAACACAATGGGAAGTATTTGTATAATTTGTTGCACTACAGAGTCACTAGGCAATAGGAAATTTTCATCTCCGTTATAATGTTATGGTACCACTTTACTATATATGGCCCCCTATTGACTGAAATGTCATTATGTGGCACGTGACTGTATTTTATTTTGCTTATCACACAGGGAAACAATACAGGGAGAAAAGCCTGGTGTCCTTTTTTATGAGTATATTTTCATCCATTTTCAGTGCTCACAAAGGAGCCAGATCACACTTGGGTGAGTCTCCTCTGCCATTTACAAATGAAAGCATTCAAGCAAGAAAGAGGTTTTCTTGCCCAAGGAAGCACATGTACAAAAAATCTTTACATTTGACTTAACTAATGTTGCTAAATACATATTTGGTTACATACCACCCACTTTCACCCATGCCAACCTTTGACATATAACTAACTGTATAACTAAAGTCCTAAAATTGTTCAGATATGCTACAAATTGGTACCATAAACAAAGGTAATTAGGGATTTATCTTGTATCTTTCCCTTTGGCAAGTGCTTTTGCTGATCTAGCTACTTATCTTCATCTGCCTTATAAAGAGAAATCATGGAATGGTTCTTGACACATTGGCTCGGTTATACAGCTATTAAAAATGTCAAATATTCAGATTACTTACTAAATCTTAATTATTACCTTACTGTGTGCTGCTACTAATTAAACAACATTTCCTATTCATATGAAGTTTGTGGCTTGGTTTAATTCTTGTTCTTTTGTATTGTTCTATATGTTTATTCAAGTGCTTAGTCTGCATTGGGGAGATATTAATGATCCATATTTATGTATACTAATATCCAACATTAAGTGAATGCTTAGTGTGTGTCAGGCCTTATTTTGTGTGCCTTTTCATTTCTTCTTCCCAGAATATAATTGAATCCATTAAGTAATAGAGCTAGCCTGGAACCCGGGCCTGGCTTCAAAGCTTGGCACAGTCATTATAGTAGCCTATTTAGTAGCTTTCTGGATTAAGCCTGTGCCTCTTTTTGAGCCTTCTTGGTCCTGATCATTACAAAACCTCTGCAACTCATTCTGTAATCTAGTTTCATAAAATAACAAGCCTTCTTAAAGTTTTTGTCTTTCATTATTTTCTGTTCACTTGCAGATAAGAAATTGCATGCCTGTGTCATGGTGACTCACCTACCTTTTAGAAAGTTTGTGTGTTCTTCAATCTAAAACCATGGTTCAGAATTACATTCTTTATGTATTCACATGCCAGTAAGATAAAGGAGCTGTTTAATGAAGGTCTTATAAGTTTGGTGTTTTTTCCCCCCTCCTACTCTTTATAGGGTAAAAGATACAAATGGGATGCAGAAACTCAAGGATGGATACTTGGTTCTTTTTTTTATGGCTACATCATCACACAGATTCCTGGAGGATATGTTGCCAGCAAAGTGGGAGGGAAACTACTGCTAGGATTTGGGATCCTTGGCACTGCTGTCTTCACCCTATTTACGCCCATTGCTGCAGATATCGGAGTTGGAGCCCTCATTGTACTCAGAGCACTGGAAGGGCTAGGAGAGGTAATTTTCTTCTCTCTTCTGGTTTTATTCTTACTCTATATAGCTTTCTTGTCTTTTTAAAGATATCATTCTTTGATATGAATATGAACCAAAAATTAATATTGGAAAATAATAAGGATTTATTTTTTTACTGAGAAAGATGATTAACTAGAAAATAACCTGAGTAGATTTTCCTTATGGTCAATAAAGTATCAAGTGAGAGCATCCTGATATTGAAAGCTTTACTGAAAGAGCAGAGAAGACATTTTCTAGGAGATTTTCCATAACTTTCTCTTTTACTTTAGGAGCTAATAAAATAAAACAGTTAAGACAGACCTCTGGAACTTTTGCCATAGTTTATCTCTGCTGCACAGATCTAAAACACATTTTACACAATAGATTATTGAATTACCTTTTTACTTTTAAATTTGTTGCTATTCAAAGAATTTCCTCTCCTTACCTAAGTAGATTACACTTAATTGTAGTATATTTTCTCTGTTCAGGTATTGAGTCTCCTTACTTCATGTATTCTCATATTTTAGCATACTGTCTTTTAATGCCATTAATTTAGCATTATAGTATATTGATTATATTACTACTGCTATCTCAAGTGACCATTTTATTTCTGAATAAAATTTAAGTCGTGTTTATTCTGAGGTTCTTTTGTCTTTCTTGTTCCTCCAATATGTATCACATGTACATTGCCTCGTCCATAAAATGAGGTCAGCATCTTTCATCCCTACCATCTAATTCACCATAAAATATACCTACATTGTTCCTAGGGTTTTTTTTGTTTTGTTTTGTTTTTAAATATATTTTATTGATTTTATACAGAGAGGAAAGGAGAGAGATAGAGAGCTAGAAACATCGATGAGAGAGTCATCAATCAGCTGCCTCTTGCACACTCCCTACTGGGGATATGCCCGCAACCAAGGTACATGCCCTTGACCGGAATCGAACCCGGGACTTTTCAGTCCCCAAGCCGACGCTCTATCCATTGAGCCAAACCGGTTTCGGCAGTTCCTAGGATTTTATAATAAAGTTTTCCACAATATAATCTCGATTGACATTTCTGAATGTCTTAAGATTTTTTATTTCTATAATGACTCCTCCTTTGCTCCATGACACAGATTATTACCTATTTGGAATGCAGCCTAAGACATTTTTGCTTCTATAGTATTTCTTTTTTTCTTTTGGAAAGAATCAGCAGAAAGTACAAAGTAATAAAGCATATATTCTCTCCATTAATTATAGCACCAGTACCATTTACTTTTACAACAAACATGCAAGATAGGGAGTATTATCTCTGTTTTACATATAAAGAAACTGAAGTTCAAGGAGATTAGTTGAGATTACACAAAGACTACACACTGTAATTGAATTTATTCTCCCCCCCCCAGACCATTTTTTTTTTAATCTATTAAGATCAACTTGAATTTCTTCCAGTATCCCAAAGTATTAGCTCAGTATTTTTTTTAAAGTTATATTGATGCCCTAGCTGGTTTGGCTCAGTGGATAGAGCCTCGGCCTGTGGTCTGAAGGGTTCCAGGCTCAATTCCCAGCAGGGGGCATGCAGGAGGCAGCCAATCAATAACTATTGCTCTCGTTGATGTTTCTATCTCTTTCTCTCTCTCCCTTCCTTTTTGAAATCAATAAAATATATTAATAAAATGAAATTGAAAAAGTTATGTGTTGGTAACGTCTTTATTTCATTCAGGCCTTTAATAAAGTAAATGAGTAAAATTAACCTTGAGAGGGATCTTAAATGTCATCATTCAGTACATTCTTTTAGATTTATTGTAACCTTTACCTTCGTCCTCAAATCAGTTGGTAGAATTCACAAATCTTTATTCAGATTTTGAAAGAACTTCATATAAAGTATTGTCTCTTAATGCTATAAAGGCATTTCACTTTATGATTCTGATACCCAGAAATTTCTCTTGCAATAAAATTCAACTGAATTTAAAATATTAGCACAGCTACCTTATATTTCATCAGAAATATCCTTCTCCCCTCCTCAGGGTGTTACATTTCCAGCCATGCATGCCATGTGGTCTTCCTGGGCTCCCCCTCTTGAAAGAAGCAAGCTTCTTAGCATTTCATATGCAGGTGAGATAACTATTCTCTTTAAAAATTTTGCTATAATTGGTTATGTATGTAACAACCTTGGAGAAAAGTGCCTGCATGCCAGCATCATATAGTGTCAGATGCTTCCTTTGGGGGAAAATTAACTTTTGGGAGTATAAGTTTATTTTTTATTTTTTTTCTTTAGCTCAACTATATAAAGCAATGTGACTTAACTAACTAATGTTATTTTATAGTATATTGATTGTATTACTACTGCTATCTCAAATGACCATTTTATTTCTGAATAGAATTTAGTTTAACTAATGTTATCTTCTTCATCTACCATAATTTTTTTTTAATTTTGACTTTTATTATATAGAATATCTGGTATGACTTTCCATATATCCTATATAATAAAAGGCTAATATGCAAATCAACTGAATGGCAGAACAACTGGTCGCTATAACGTGCACTGACCACCAGGGGGAAGATACTCAATGTAGGAGCTGCCCCCTGGTGATAAGTATGCTCCCACAGGGACACACCACTCAGCCAGAAGCCCTGAGCCAGGTTCAGAGCTGGTGAGCACAGCAGTGGTGGCGGGAGCCTCTCCACCTCCATGGCAGTGCTAAGGATATCCAACTGCTGGTGTAGGCCTGCTAAGCCATCAGTTGGATATCTCCCCAAGAGCTCCCAGACTGCGAGAGGGCAGGGGCCAGACTGAGGGACACCCCTTCCTTCCCCACCCCCGCTCCCCGTGCATGAATTTTGCGCACCAGGCCTCTAGTTGGTATAGAAAATACTATAGGTTTTTTTGTGGGGGTGTTTTATTGTTGTGACCCACAGGTTGAGAACTACTAGCAGGGTTGCCTGAGACCATCAGAAAGCACAGATATTTACATTACAATTCATAACTAGCAAAATTATAGTTATGAAGTAGCAATGAAAATAATTTTATGATTGGGGGTCACCACAACATGAGGAACTGTATTAAAGGGTCGCAGCATTAGAAAGGTGGAGAACCACTGTTCTATTAACTGAATTAAAACTTTTTTACCTGACTGCTTTTAAATACAGTAGTTGAGAAAGGCCTCTCTGTGGTGACTTACAAGCTAAAATCTAAAGGTTAATAATGAACTAGTCATGCAAAGAGAAAAAGAAGATCATTCCAGACCATCAGAACAACATGTACAAGGGCTCTCAGGCAGGAAATACATAAGAGTTCAAAGAAATGAAAAGTCACTATGCGTGGCTAGAACATAATGAATAAAAGGGATATTACATAAAAGTTTAGAGAAATAGACAAAAGCCAGATAATATCAGACCTTATAGGCTATAGGAAAGAATGAGGATTTTTTTTTTTATTTCCAAAATATAATGCGGAGACATCAGAGGGTTTTATTTTTTGTTTTGTTTTTTTCTATCCTCATCCAAGGAAATGTTTTTATTAATTTTGAGAGAGAGAGAAAGGAAAGCATCAATTGGTTGACCCAGGGATCAGATTCACAATGTAGATGTGTACCCTGACTAGAAATTGAACCCACCAACTTTTGAAGTATGGGATGATGCTCCAACCAACTGAGGCACCCTGTCAGGGCATAGATATCAGAGATTCTTTATCAAGAGAGAAACATGATCCAATTTATATTTTAAGAAGATGATTCTTACAGCTGTATAGAGGTTAACATGAGAAATCTGATTATAAGTTCAGGTACTATCTGTGATTCCCCTTCACCAGTTGAAGATAGTCTAACCTCAAATTATTAGTCAACATTTTTTACACTCTTTACCACTCATGTCTAAACCACATCCAGCACAGCCAGTGGTGAACTTGAAGAGGGGTGGCGAAGGATTAAAGAAAACAGCCAAGAGAATACAGTTGGGGCCAGGTGGATCACTGTGCTTGGATGAGAAAACAGTGACACAGTTTGTAAGCCGAAGCTTTATTTTATAGTCAGATCACACAAGGTAAAAAAAGGACAAGATGTTTACAATGTTCTTGCAAGTTTCAAATCAGCTTCTTTCATGTTGTTGTCATTCTCTGAACTCTTATCAAGCTTTGTTTTGGCAGCACCTGCTGCACCTCCTGCAGTCCACATCTCTTAGCTACCTAGGACTGCAGGATCACACTATAAGGTCAAGCTTACAACCATAGCCTTTGGCTATAACCATGCTGGAAAGGCTTTGCCTTCCAAGCTGGGACTTGTATGTGACTTTGCCACAAATCAGTCCAAGGCTTGATCCTGTCTGAACACTGTAGCCACTCTCCACACATGTTAACTAGCCTATGCCCAGGCACATAGTACTTGGTATGGAGAACATATTCAATAACTATTCAACTTGTTTTCCAGCCCATATCTTCTTTTCCTTCACCCAAAGTTCTCAAATTCACTCTGCTTTTCTACTTCCATGCCTTTACTCATCCTATTACAGCTCCCTCTGTATCTTCTTTCTTACCTTGTTTCTATGGGACCAAAGTTTACCCATCTTTTCAAGGCCCACTGCTGCTGCTTACCTTTTCATCTATCTTATATTTGAACTTTCATATTGCTCTGTGACAACACTATAACATCTATATATAAGCCTAAGCAACTGAACAACTGGTTGTTATGATGCATACTGATCACCAGGGGGCAGACACTCAATGCAGGAGCTGCCCCCTGGAGGTCAGTGCACTCCCACAGCCAACCTCCTCTGGCCAGCCAACCTTCCATGGTCCCTTCCCCTGGCCAGCTGGCTCCGATTGGGATTGGGTGAGACAGCCCTGATTGGCCCTGATCACTGGCCAGGCCAAGGAACCCCACTCATGCAGAATTCGTGCACAGGGCCTCTAGTATACTAATAAGACCACGGCTTGAGCCAAGAAACATTATATGATTATTTTAGCTCCTATCGTATCCACTAAAGTGTCTTGTGTATGGCAGTTAAAATTAATGTTATTATTTACTTCTCTGAAACAATTGTTTGTAACATATTGTGGACAAATTAGATTATTATAAGTTTTCATTCTTATTTCATCAAGTATGCTGCTCTAGGTTATGTTTATCAGCTTTAGAGATCACCTTTGAACCTCAGATACCTGGATTCCTAACACATGTGACATTTACCCATTCATATTATAATAGGTCTTATATTGATAGATGCCTTCTAATGCAATAGCTACATAGTGGTAACTAATGGAACTATATATTAACGTATACGTCTTACATATTGTGGATTCTCTGGTAAATGATTCCTTAAGAAAACGGATTGTTTGTATTTACATGTGACTAATTCAGTTCTTGTAGGATCTGAATCATTCTTTCTCTTCTCCATTGTTACCCATCTTCTTTAAGCAAAGATGGGTAACAAAGCCTTTGCTCATCTCTCCAAAGTTTACAAAGTCTTTTTGTTCTAGGAGCACAGCTTGGGACAGTAATATCTCTTCCTCTTTCTGGAGTAATTTGTTTCTATATGAATTGGACTTATGTCTTCTATCTCTTTGGTAAGTTCGTTGAAAAATTTAACCTAAATTATAGTATAACGAATCCAAAATGTAATAGTAGTCTCATAATTGGTTAAAAATATATATTCCGCCTAAACCGGTTTGGCTCAATGGATAGAGTGTCGGCTTGCAGACTGAAGTGTCCCAGGTTTGATTCCTGTCAAGGGCATGTACCTTGGTTGCAGGCACATCCCCAGTAGGGGGTGTGCAAGAGGCAGCTGATCGATGATTCTCTCTCATCGATGTTTCTAACTCTCTATCCCTCTCTCTTCCTCTCTGTAAAAAATCAATAAAATATATTTTTAAAAAACTATATATATTCCAACTCACTGAAGTAATCATTTCCAAAATCACAAAACTCTAAAACATTGATAACATATTTTTCAAGTTGATATGGTCAAAATGATCTAGCTGAGTTTTGACCTGATATTAGTTTGGGGATATTTCTCAATAGAAACTGCTGTTGAATCTAAGACTTAAATGCTATACTTATTATCAAAAATTACTATATTGAATATTATTGAACTGTATATTTTGAAAATTTTGTTCTCAAGCAAGGTAGGATGCTTTCATTTGTTAGTTTTAATTTCGTCCCGGGGCCTTTTACTTCTGTCTCATTATCATAATGATACATGTTTTCAACAAATTAGATTGCCACAAAGACATTTTATGCAGAAAATCTATCTGTAGTCAATACAAAACAATAATGGATACCTGTAGAAATAATAGCTTGTGGAAATTTATATTTTAAAAGGTTCGCCAGCTTTTTCTCTCTCTCTCTGGAGCACACCCATGCCTTTCCCTTCTCCTTCTCTCTGCCTTTTTTTTTTTTTTTCCCTAAGCTCAAGAGCCGTCTTTTGTTTTTGTTAGCTTTTGTTTTTGTTTTTTTTTGTTTGTTTGTTTATTTGGTTTTATTGGGGGGAGGGAGATTATTTTTTCCTCTTTTTTTTTTTTATAATTCTTTATTTTTGAAAATATTACATATGTTCTTTCCCCACACAGACACACACACACACACCATTGACCCCCTGCAGCCTACCCCTGCCTCCACCCCAGGTCAAGGGCCCTTCTTTTGTCTCTAATTTGTTTTCTGAGCCCACAAACTCAGCTAGCTCACTCCTTCTACAGCTCACTTCTTCCACCTCTGACTTCCTAAATAAATTTTTGCAAATAAGTAAATATAAGATTAGTCTGGTATACTCTGAAAGGCAGAGTCATATGGTCAAAAGTTATTCTCTTCAAAATTTATAGGAAATAATACAGATAGCAATTATCCCATTAACTAATTATCAGAGGAACTTAAAATAAAAACTAAGCTGAAACCAATATACATTGATTTTATAATTACATATTTTTTTCAACACATGTAAGAATTACTGTTGGTGTATTCTAATTTTATTTAACTATTATTTTTCTATTTTAAGGTATTGTTGGAATCATTTGGTTTGTTTTATGGATCTGGTTAGTTAGTAATACACCAGAAACTCACACGACAATCTCCCACCAGGAAAAGGAATACATTCTTTCATCGTTAAAAAATCAGGTATTGACTTTGGAATATTTTAAAAATAATTTTGAAACTTTTTTTCTTCAGAATTAAGATACCAAATTTTTTTATCATGTTATGCAAATTAGATTATAAATTTTATTCTTATGAGTCTGAATCATTCAAGATCCCAATTTTTAACAGATATTTTTATTGTGCGTGCTCTAGGAAAAATGGAACAGGCAAATTAAATAAATGTTTTGCCGGAGAAATTCTAATTCTCTCTAGCTTAAATCTATGAAACAATTTTTAAAGTTATTTTAAACCTTCTAGAGCAGCAGTTTTCAACCTTTTTCATCTTATGGCACACTAATTACCAAAACTCTGTAGCAGACAAAATATATATATATATATATATATATATATATATATATACACACACATATATATATATATGCATATATACATATGTATACATATATACAACACACACACACACACACATATATATATTGCTAATCTTACCAAAAAAAAAAAAAATAAGTACAATTTTGATTCACTTATACCAGATAGCTATTGTTGTGTTGGCTCTTGTCATTTTTTGATAAAATCTTATTGATTTTAGAGAGAGAAGAAGGGGGAGGGAGAGAGAGAGTGCAATATCAAGTGGTTGCTTCCCGAGTACAAGGACCTAACCCACAACCTGGGCAAGTGCCCTGAACAGGAGTTGAATCAGCAACCTCTCTTTTGGTGCATGACATGCCACTCAAACAATTGAGGCTCACTGGCCAGGGCAGCTGTTGACTTTTTTTTTAATTTGACAGTCTGAGGGAAAAGAGGTTAGTACCCCTGACTAAATATTCAATATTGCATGTTTTAAAAATTCTTCTGTCACACTGGTTGAAAATCGCTGTTCTAGAGTAATGATTATCAGGTAAATCTTAAATTTGTTTTCTTTTTAATTAGTAGAAAATAAAATGTGTTACTTATTAAAGGAATCTTATAGCTGCATTCTAAATGTTAGTTTTAGAAAACTAGTATGTTTTTATCTGTACTTTAAATGAGTGTGATTTAATGATGATAGCATATTTAATATACCTATTTGCCCCTCTACAATAGATTATTTAGGAAAAAGAAACATCTTATTAAAGCTAGATTTCTATCACTTAAACACTGTGGCAAGTCAGAAATAAAAGTCTGTCATAATTTAAGAAATACTCAAGCCATGAAAACAAAATATTTGGCCTTAGCTGGGTTGGCTCAGCAGACTAAAGGGTCCTGAGTTCAATTCAAGGGCATGTATGTTGGTTGCAGCTCTGCCTTGGTCAGTTTACTTTATTAGTTTAAGAACATAAAATATTTCATTTGAAACTTTTGCCCAGTAAGTTAACACTTGATATTTTAATGTGTATAGAAAGTATAGGCAGGTAGAATTTAAACATTTACTCATTTACATTTCTTTTAAGTTTTTAAATTTTGCTACAAGTGTATCTACAAACTGCTGAACTTTAGAATAATATGGCATATCTTGTTCTTTGCCAAAGGTCAGCAAAAAATTAGAAGAAATCAGTACTGTGATAAGGAAAGTTACTTTGAGATCTTAGTGTCCTTCATGATGTTAATCAAATGAAACACCCACTTTTTCCCTTGAAGAAACCAACAAAAAAAAATGTAATGCCATGTTAACAGGTGTTGCCACATAAAACTTTATATGTTTGTAACATTTTCTAGGCAATACTGGGCAACATTGAGCTTCTTCTATTATTATTTTCATGGACTTATGAAACTTTTTAGTTTTAGATTTTTTTCAAAGCTTTCTCTACTTGATGTGTGTCTAAATCTGTCCATTATCCAAACCTACGGTTAATTTGTCCTTTCATATGCTTCAGAAAATAGAAAATTCAGAAGCAAGATGAATTAGAAGGATTAAATTTCATAGAATCCCAAACTGCATTCTTAAATCAGATGATGTCATAATTGAAATGTCATCAAATTTTTCATGAAACTTCACCTTTTAATCTTGGATCCAAGAGATCTAGATCTAGATCTGCTGTACTTTATTCATTCTTTAAACATTTTTTGACAATTTACAATGTCCTAGTTTCTTTGTCAGGTACTGGGAGCTTAAAAAATAAGAGAAAGAAAATGAACAAGACATGGTTCTTGTGGGATCTGTGATCTCCAAAGGGAGACAGACATGAATGAATGGAATTTCAATATAGTGTAGTCTGCATGATGCAGTGCTGTAAGACAGACACATAAGCTCTGGCTTGTGTAGCTCAGTTGGTTGGAGCATTGTCCTGTACATCAAAAGATGGCGGGTTCAATTCCTGGTCAGGGCACATACCCAGGTTACAATTAGATCCCATACTCAGGAGGCAACTCGTGGATATTTCTCTCTTTCCCTCTCCCTCCCTTCCTCTCTTAAAGTCATTACATAAATTAAGTAATGTTTAAAAATAACAACAGGTGCTCAGGAAATCTTTGAAACAAAGAAGGCAGGGGGCCTCAGCCAGCCTGGGACATGTCATAAGTCCTCTGGTGCCAGTGCCCACCCCTCTCCCCAGCAAAAGATCTTCAAGAACATACCTGTAGTTGAACAAAATTGGGTTTCTTGGTTTGTTTTAGTGAGGGAAAAGGCACATCATGATGAACCATATGCCATTTCAGTGAGAATTAGGAGCATCTTGTAATTTAGACTTGCATTCTTTGACTTTGGGAAGGATTTAAAGAACTACTATCTTGGTGTTAGTATCAATTTTATAATTAAGTTTTTTCTAGAAGTGGGGCTAAAGCTGTTAGCCAGGAGAAAGATAGGTTTGCTCCTTTTTTGTGATGTATAGTATTCTTATTTTGTCTGTGTTCAAACATAATTATAGAGTGGTCTTGTTTTTGTCTCATTCCATCATGTTTATAGAATAGCTTTGTTCAAGTTCGGTGGGCGAACACCAGGACCTAGTTGTTAAGCTCAGGTGACAATAGCCTGGAGATACTTTTTTCTTTCTCACTAATAAAAGCTTTATATGATAAATCTAGAAAGGGAAATTGGAGTAAGCCCGACAGACTGGGGAAATGAGAGATGAGCAGGCATTCCAGGCCAAGTATATGGTGCAGCGAAGACAGGGGAGACAGGGTAATATCTTAAGAAGTCAGCAGTTAGGTCTGGCTAAAAGTAAAAAGCAAAGAGCAGCCGAAGATACAGGAGGTAGGCAGAAGTCAGATCAGAGGGTCCCCTGTGTCTCACTGACGAGTTCAAATTTTATCTTGCAGGCACTGGGATGCCATGCATTGTTTGTAAACTTGGTGACAGAATGAGGCTTGCATTTTAGAGAATTTACACTGACAGCTGTGTGGAGAGAAGACCTAAGCCAGATGGGCAAGGTTCCAGTTAGAATGCTTTCTTACTTATTAAGCTCAGAAAAAGTCAATACTTGTAGGCAGAAATGTGATTTCATTCTTATATTTGGTAGATCTTACATTTATGGCAACATATATAGTTCTAATTCTTATTTAGAAATTATTACAAAAAGAGCAATACAATTTTCAGGGCACTCTACAAGTATACACTCCCAAAGCCAGCTCATAACTAGTGAGCTCTATCCTAGTGAATGCTTTAAGATCATCAACATCTTTGTTTTAAAGATCTCTTTTTAATAAATTATAAAAGGCCGAAGCCGGTTTGGCTCAGTGGTAGAGCATCGGTCTGCAGACTAAAGGGTCCCAGGTTCGATTCTGGTCAAGGGCATGTACATTGGTTGCGGGCACATCCCCAGTAGGGGGTGTGCAGGAGGCGGCTGGTCGATGTTTCTCTCTCATAGACATTTCTAGCTCTCTATCTCTCTCCCTTCCTCTCTGTAAAAAATCATTAAAATATATTTAAAATAAATAAATTATAAAAGGACATTACCACTTCACCCATAGAGGTTTTCTTTCCTAGAGATCTCTTTTTTTTTTTTTTTCTTTTCTTTACTTAATTCTTGAGAACAGCATGTTTTTATAACTGTTTTTGTTTTCCTTTATACCTTTAAGAAAGAGTATACAATTTGGCAACACTATTAAGTAAATGGAGGCCTTGGTTTGAATAGTTAGTTGCTATAAATTAAGAACATCTATTGCATGCAACTTTTTCTAAATCAATTTATTGTTGCTTGCATTTGACAGAAAAATGTTTTTTGTGAAGTTTCCCATAGAAGATACTCAAGTATTTGTTGACAGCCTTACCCTTCATGTATTCTAGAAAATTAACACACTTTACAACAAATAATTTTTTTGTAGTTATCAGAGCAATATGTGCCTTGTCTTCCCATTACTGCTGGAGCTGGTTCACAACTGCCTTTAGGGTTTGTTGCCAGGACCGTGATTTGTATTTGTTTTACCCAATGCACAGGTGTGTGAGGCTCCTTGTAGGTCCCTTGGCAAATGGTGCTGGATCCCACAGCTCCACAAAGGCAGTTTTGTCTATAGATGGATGCCAGATGAGTCTAGTACATCTTATTTGGCCATCTTGCTGATGTCACTCTCCACTTATAGCTGGTCTTGGTTAAGTAGGTCTCAAAAAACATCAAAAATTCAGTTGATATTTATAGGCTGTGAAAATATACTAGCATGGCTAAATTTGCTTCATTTTTGCTTAATTTGTACAAACAAGATTATGCCTAAATACTGCTGGAATGCTATTATCAGAACCATATATTCTTCTAAAACAATACTGATAAGCCCTGGCCAATGTGGCTCAGTTGGTTGGAGCATCTTCCTGTACACCAAAAGGTAGTGATTTCCATTCCTGGTCAGATTGTGGGTTTGATCCCCGGTTAGGGCATGTATGGGAGGCATGTAATGGATACTTCTCTTTCTCTCTCAAAAAAAAAATTAAAATAGCCCAGGAAGTCATGGTTCAATTCCTGATCAGGGCACATGACGGTGCAGGCTCAATCCCTAATAGAGGGTGTGCAGGGGGCAGCCAATCAATGATTCTCTCTCATCATTTTTTTCATTTTATTTTATTGATTTTGTCCAGAGAGAAAGGGAGAGAGATAGAGTCAGAAACATCGATGAGAGAGTCATCGATCAGCTGCCTCTTGCACACCCCCTACTGGGGATATGCCCGCAACCAAGGTTCATGCTCTTGACCAGAATCGAACCCGGGACCTTTCAGTCCCCAAGCCGACGCTCTATCCATTGAGCCAAACCAGTTTCGGCTCTCTCTTATCATTGATGTTTCTATCTTTCTCTTCCTCTCCCTGCCTCTCTGAAAACAACAAAAATATATTTTATAAATTAATTAATTAAAACATCACTGTCACTACATGCAAGTACATGCAGCAGGAATCTTAAAATTATTACATATTTCACACTAAAGTTTCTGTTTCTGGGAGGGGGGAGTACATTCAGAATTTATTTAGTTTCCAGAGATCAGATACATTTAAACATGTACTTTTCAACACAGAAGTGTGATTTATTTCCTTTGTGGGTTTCAAAGCCATATAAAAATATCTATGTTCCAACTTCCTTTAAATTCTAAAATCTCTAGACTGATCTTGTCCTTCCTCTTGTCTCTGAGCTTTTCAAGCAATAGGGGTGGATGGGGAAGTTGCAGACCTCTTTTATCTCTATAACTGTAGATGACTTCTGCCATTCAAAGGGAATGATTGGAGTTGACATTATCACACTAATTACATTTCAATTTTTCTTCTAATCTGAAAATGGACTCTATTCTAATAAAAGAGAAACACACAAGTTGACTGTACCACCGCTATACCCACAAGCCATGCCCACAGAAGCCAATCAGGAGCAAGTATGCATATTAACCCAACCAAGACGGCTGCAGCCACAGAGCTAGAGCAAGCAGGGGGCTTGGGTTTCCCCCAGCAATGGAGGAAGCCAAACTTCCCACCCACCCTGGCCTCCGCTAAAGGCTACAAAGTTTTAATTATAGAAGATAAATAAATTCCAACAAAAATGGTGGCAGACACAGAGTTGGAGAGAACAGGAGGCTTGAGTTGCCCTGGCAATGGAGGAAGCAAGTTTTCCACCGCCCTTGCCTGCCCTAGCCTTAGCTCAAGGCTACAAAGTTTCAATTATAGAAAATAAATAAATCCCAGATACCAGGGCCTCCACTTGGGTCACCACGGGCTGTGGCCAGCCTGCAAACCACCACAAGCCCCTCGCCCAGGCCACACTATGCCCCAAGGGACCCTCCACCCTGATCCGGGATACCCTTCAGGGCAAACTAGCCAACCCCCACCTGTGCACCTGGCCTCTATCCTATCTAATAAAAGTGTATGCAAATTGACCATCACTCCAACACACAAGATGGCTGCCCCCATGTGGACACAAGATGGCCTGCAGGGGAGGGCAGGCCTGCAAAGGAGGGCAGTTATGGGCAATCAGGTGAGCAGGGGAGGGTAGTGGGAGGGACCAGGCCTGCAAGGGAGGGAAGTTGGGGGCAATCAAGCCTGCAGGGGAGGGCAGTTAGGGGTGACCAGCTGGCAGAGGAGGGAAGTTGGGGGCGACCCAGCCTGCAGGGAAGGGCAATTGGGGGGGAGGAAGGGGGGTACAATCCAGGCTTGCAGGGGAGGGCAGTTAGGGGTGACCAGGCTGGCAGGGGAGCAGTTAGGCATCAATCGCACTTGCAGGGGAGCAGTTAGGGGGTGATCAGGCTGGCAGACAAAAGCTGTTAGGGGCGATCAAGAAGGCAGGCAGTACACATATAATACCTTAATAAAAAAAAATGAGGGGGGGGGGGAGAAGGCAGGCAGGCGAGCAGTTGGGAACCAGCAGTCCTGGATTGTGAAAGGAATGTACAACTGCCCATTTAGACCCAATCCTACCGGGTTTGCGCCTAAACGGGCAGTCGGACATCCCTCGAGGGGTTCCAGATTGGAGAGGGTGCAGGCTGGGCTGAGGGACAACCCCATCCCCATGCACGAGCTTCATGCACTGGGCCTCTATTTACTGTGTAATATTTTTAAGGAGTTGGTTTAAAAATCTGGAATTTACTAATCAATGCAGATAATGTGTTCTAGATGGGATTTTGGCTAATAAGTACAGATATCAACATAGCTGTAGCTTATCCTAAATGCACCTGGTTGGTTGTTTTTCAGCTTTCTTCACAGAAGTCAGTGCCATGGATACCCATGCTAAAATCCTTGCCTCTTTGGGCCATTGTTGTCGCACACTTTTCTTATAACTGGACTTTTTATACCTTGTTGACATTATTGCCCACTTATATGAAGGAGATCTTAAGGTTCAATGTTCAAGAGGTAAGAAAATATAATCATATGCTTCCTATATAAAGTGCAGATTTTGAACTGCACACAGAATTTGTTTTTATCTATGAGAACTATTTTTATCTTAAATTTTACTCTAATATACTAAATTTTAAAGACTTGTCTTTTTTGCTTCACCATTGTTCTTTCTTCTTTCAGGCTGCAGGGGAGGGCAGTTAGGGGTGACCAGGCTGCAGGGGAGGGCAGTTAGGGGTGACCAGGATGAAGGGGAGGGCAGTTAGGGGTGACCAAGCTGCAGGGGAGGGCAGTTAGGGGGGACCAGGCTGCAGGGGAGGGCAGTTAGGGGTGACCAGGCTGCAGGGGAGGGCAGTTAGGGGGGACCAGGCTGCAGGGGAGGGCAGTTAGGGGGGACCAGGCTGCAGGGGAGGGCAGTTAGGGGGGACCAGGCTGCAGGGGAGGGCAGTTAGGGGTGACCCTTGATTTATGGTATCTTTTGGCTGGAACCCCAGTAACCATAAAGTTTTACTAATCCCTAGTTACATGCAAGATATCAGATCTATGTCCCAAATTCCTTTCAACTCTAAAACTTAAAGTGGCACCAACATTCACTTCTACAAAGGATGGTTACAGGACTGCTGGCAGCTGAGGAAGGAGTTGTAAAGTGCAAGGTTCTTGTGAGAGGCTGCTCTGCAGCATCATTTAGGATTGGAAAAGTTGTAGTTATTAAAGCAGTATAAGGACCTTCCTGAAACTGCCAGTTCCTTTGAACTCATCAGTTAATGTAGTTCCTATTATCTCTATTTACAATGATGGTTTTTGCCTTTAAAGAGACTGAGGAAAAGCCTAAAGGGAAAGAGGCACAGTGTATAAGGAAAATTGGTGGTATTTTTTGCTTTCAAAATTAAGGATAAATTAAAGACAATGTAAGAGTTAAAATGATAAAACTCTTAGAAAGTATACATCTCTGTGACCTTGGACTGGGTAAGTTTCTTATATATAACACCAAAAGCACAAGTAATCAAAGTAAAAAAACTAGATAAGTTGTACTTCATCAGAATTAAAAACTTTTGTGCATCAAAGGACACTATCAAGAATTCAAACCCGCCGAAACCGGTTTGGCTCAGTGGATAGAGCATCGGCTTGGGGACTGAAAGGTCCCGGGTTCGATTCTGGTCAAGGGCATGTACCTTGGTTGCAGGCATATCCCCAGTAGGTGATGTGCAAGAGGCAACTGATCGATGACTCTCTCTCATCGATGTTTCTAACTCTCTATCTCTCTCCCTTCCTCTCTGTACAAAATCAATAAAATATATTTTTAAAAAAAAATTCAAACCCACTGGAGGGGAGAAAATATTTGCAAGTCACATATCTGATAGGGGTCTAGTAACCGCATTATATAAAGAACCCTTACAACTCAATAATGAAAACACACCATTTTTTAAATGAGCAAATGATTTGAATGGACATTTTTCCAAAGATATACAAGTGGCCAATAAGCCCATGTAAAGATGCTCAGCATCATAAATCATTTGGGAAATGTAAATGAAAACCATAACTATACGCCACTTCTCATCTATTAGAATTAAAAAATAAACAGAAAAACAAGTGTTGAGGATATGAAACCTTCATACACTACTGGTGGGAATGTAAAATGATGTAGCCACTGTGGAAAAGAGTTCATCAATTCCTCAAAAAAATGTAAACAGAGTTATCATACGACCCAGTAATTCCATTCCTAAATTTATATGAAGAGGATTGAAAATATATGTCCCACAAATACATTTACACAAATGTTTGTAATAGCATTACTCATACTAACCAAAAAGTGGAAATAACACTAATGTCCATCAGCTAGTGAAGAGGTAAACAAAAAGGTAGTATATTCATATAATGGAATATCACTCAGCCACAAAGTGAAAGATAGCCCTCGTTGGGGCCCAGGGCAGGCCAACCCAATGGCATATTGATTATTTCTAAGTGGTAAAATCACTTACAAAGCATATATTCTTTCTGATATTCATAGCAGCACAATTTATAATAGCTAAGTTTGAAAACAGCCCAAGTGACTATCAGTAGATGAATGGATAAACAAGCTGAGGTACATTTACACCATGGAATTCTATGCAGCAGTAAAAAAGAAGGATCTCTTACAATTTTGAGATAACATGGAAGTATCTGGAGAGTATTATGCTAAGTGAAATAAGCTAGTCAGAAAAAGATAAGCATCACCTGGTCTCATTCATATGTGGAATATAATGAACAAAAACATAAAAAAAAACTGTTGAACAAAACAGATCCAAAGACAGAGGAAGGGAACAGATGTGGGTGGGGGTGGGTGGGAAGAGATCAACCAAAGAACATGTATGCAGATCTAAATATTCCACTGAGGTTTCTTTTTGAGATTTTCCTTGGAGAACTACAGAAATAATGAAATATCAATAGCTGGCTAGTAATTACTGCTGTGCACTTAATTGCCTTTATTTTTTATGGAATTTTTAAAGTTCTATAATGAGAGAATTTAAAATAAGAATCTTTTACCTTGCATTTTAATATTTAAAAAGGCATTTCCTTTTTTGAATCAAATTTTTTAAAAATGTGAATAGAGTTTGACAGTAATTCTCTAAATAGATTTTTTATTGAGATAACATTGATTAATAACATCATATTTTTTATTGAGATAACATTGATTAATAACATCATATCATATACATTTCATGCATACAATATTATATGATAATTTGATATTTGTATATATTATAGTAAGTTCATCACCAAAAGCCTAGTTTTCATCTGTCATCATATATTTGACCTCCTAAAAGCCTCTTTTTTACATGGATTTTTTTCTTGAGAAATCAATTTATTACATTCATGAAATGGCCTTTCCTTAGAATAAGGCTAGTTTTATATTTAAAATTACAATCTCTCATTAATTAATAATTATAAGGTTTTTAATCTCTTGTTATAATCTTGCTTTTTCGTGTAAGTTTAGTTTCATTAGTTATCCTACCATTTCTTTTTTTCCCACCAGTTTTTTCCAATTCTAGTGTCCATATTTCTTACAACTCAGTGAGAGTCAGGGCAATATCTATTAACCTATTTTAGATATTAATATTTTGGGATCAATTTTTTAAATAAATGAATATAAATTTTATCCTTGCATAGAATGCTGAATAACAGTAGAAGGTTATTATATATACATTTCTATATAATAGAAATTATATGTCATGGAATGAATAAATGTTGAAGATTTTAGTAGTTTGAGGGAGTTTTTAACATTGGAGCATTATTTTTTTCATATGTTTTATTGAATTTTTTATAGAAAGAAAGGGAGAGGGAGAGAGAGTTTGAAACATCGATGAAAGAGAAATATTAATCAGCTGCCTCCTGCACACCCCCTACTGGGGATGTGCCCACAACCAAGGTACATGCCTTTGACTGGGACCCTTGAGTCCGCAGGTTGACGCTCTATCCACTGAGCCAAACCGGTTAGGGCTAACAGTGAAGCTGTAAGGGGAAAAAATGGGAGCTTTAAGTGGAAAAATTCAGTAACTCTGTGAATTATCAGCCTTATCTCATAAGGGAACAAGACCAAGATCTGAAAATTAATTTCTCTACTTGCTACAGCTTATTCATCTGTAGGATTCTGCCCCAAGTAACAATAGATGTAATCCCACTATGCAGAAGTCTAAATGTAGTAACATTTAAAGAGGAAATTACACAGCATAATACTAGAAACAAACAAAAATTTTCAGGTACAGCCCTAGCTGGTTTGGCTCAGTGGATAGAGCATCAGCCTGCAGACTAAAGGGACCCAGGTTCGATTTTGGTTCAAGGGCACATGCCTGGGTTGCAGGCTTGATCCCTGATGGGGGACATGGCAAGAGGCAGCCAGTCAATGATTCTCTCTTATAATTGATGCTTCTCTCTCTCCCTCTCCCTCTCTGAAATCAAGGAAGATATATATCTATATATATTTTAATGTCCTCAATTATAGAAGAACTGAAAGCATACCGCATCTGAATACTAAAAACCACAAACTATGATGAAATATTTTCTTAAGCACAATTTAATATAAAATATTAAATTTTTCTGGTCTGCACCATGAATGGTGCTTAAATGGAATTATTGTAAGATTTAATTATTGATGATAATATATCTTTCTGCCTTTTTTGTGTTTGTATCGATAAACACTAACAAGAGTATCCATCTCTCTTAGATTATAAAAGCATTTGTATTTGTGGGTGTTTTGTGTTGTTTTTTTGTTTTGTTTTGTTTTTGTGTGTGTGTGTGTTGTTTTTTGTTTTGTTTTTTCGTTTAGTCTTGGCACCTCACACTTATGCTGAGGAAAATGAATAGAAGAAAAATTTCTCTTATTCTGAGTGTGTGTTCTTCATTTTACAGAATTTGTGATATCCTAAAAAGCTGTCAAGTAATTTCCTACAAAAATAACACATTTCCATGATTAATTCAGTTTTCATTTTGCTTAGGTGATAACTTAAAGAGGGAAAAGATAGCGTGTTTCTCAATTATAGACTTTGTCCTCTTTTCAAAGTATGTGCGAGTGCACCAGCACCTGACCTACATGGTGTTCACTTAAGAATAACTTGTTAAGATATACATTTGATTTATATGCTTTCTGTATCTGTTTTATTTTATAATAAAAATATTTTAAAAATAAATGACGTTCAAGACAGAAACTTCTGTGGGGAAAATCCATACTCTAATAGAAAGACATCTTCTCTCAGGGAAGCTACTGCCCAAGTCCCAAAATAACATTCAAGATTGCCTTGAGCAGATTGGACTATAGTGAGACCTGGTTCCCTCTAAGACAGGATCTTAGGGACTGCATTGAACTGAATCCCAAAATTCTTCTATAGACCAAACTTATTTACTATCTATAGTAATACCTGTTAATATGCTAATTAGACCAGACGTCCTTCCATACGACCTTCTGACAAAGCCAGGGCTGTGAGGGAAGCCCAGGTCCTGGGTGTCAGAGGGAAGCTGGCGGATGGAAAGCCTATCTTTAGTACCTATATAAAAATTAACAGTTTGTTGCTATGGATTTCCTTTGGTTTTGAGAGTTGAATGTGTATGCGTGTGTGTGTGTGTGTGTGTGTGTGTGTGTGTGTGTGTGTGTGTGTGTTGGTTCTTCCTCCCATCGTAATTAATTCCGTATCTTCTTATTCTTCCCAGAATGGGATTTTATCTGCAGTGCCTTATTTTGGCTGTTGGTTATGTATGATCATGTCTGGTCAAGTTGCTGACTATTTAAGGGCAAAATGGAATTTTTCAACCGTATGTGTTCGAAAAGTTTTTAGCCTTATAGGTAAGTGATGTGAATCAGGTTTTGTTTTGGCTCGCAATTATTTACTATGTTTACAGTGTAAACCAAGGTACAAATGATAATATTAGTCATTTATTTTGTTCACATAATAAAACATTTTAATGCATGTAGTGTATTTGTTTACAGTCAAAAAAATCAATAAAATATAAAATAAAAAAAAGACCTAGATGGAATGTTTTTCTAACTTTATTTAACAGCCTATCATTTAGTTTATTTTCTTTGAATTTTAAACCACACTCTGTATCAGCTATTGCCTCTCTCTGGGACCATATTTTTCATCTTCTCTTCTTGCTCTTTTTTATAACATTGTAGAACTTTAGCTGAGTCTTGGTCACATGTAGATTTAATGGCAATGCATAATAATATTTTACTTTTATATTGGTTGTAGTATGCCTATATGTTTTCCACAAATTTTTTCATGAAACTATTAATTTAAATTTAGAGTCTTCTGGGAAATATAATGTTTCTACAGTAGGTGGCAGTAATGTCCAATCTCAGATTTATACTATATTAAGGTAGAGCAGGCAAATATTAATGCTGGGGCTTCTTTTCTTTTTGTAACCTTTTACTTCAGGAATGATTGGACCTGCGGTATTCCTGGTAGCTGCTGGATATATAGGTTGTGATTACTCTTTGGCTGTTGCATTCTTAACCATATCAACAACCCTGGGAGGCTTTTGCTCTTCTGGATTTAGCATCAACCACCTGGATATTGCTCCTTCGTGAGTACTAATAGAAAGATTCTCTGTGATTAAGTTATTCTGTAATTGTGATAAAATATACATAATATAATATTTATCATTTTTTAGTGTACGGTTCTGTGGCATTACCATTGTTGTGCAACCATCACCACAAATCCATCTTCAGAATTTTGTCATCTTCCCAAACAGAAACTCCCTAACCATTAAACACCAACTTCCCATTCCCCCTCCCCCACAGTTCCTGGCAACCACCATTCCACTTTCTGTCTCTTTGAGTTTGACTACTCTAGGGATGATTTTAAATTCTTAAAGATGTTTTTAAATTTAAATTTCTGACTACCATCACCTTTGTACACACTGTTTCCATAAAAACATTACATAAAATACATTATAACTGCTGCTGATCATACCGAGAAACTTGTTTAGTTATCTCTTCATTTCTATAACCATAACTTTTAATTAGAGAAGTTGATGGGTTAAATAACTGATTTTTTATATCAGTTACATGTATATGTATTTAAATAGCTACAAAAAGTAACTGCATAGTAGTGAATTCTACAGGATATTATTTAAGTTTATATTACGAATAAAATTGAAATTGAAATAGAAAATGTAATATATCCTAATATTAGAAATAGAAAGGAAATAATAGATCTAGATTTATCGCACTAATTTATACTTTGATAATCTAATTACAGTCCTAAAATGGAAGGGTCCTCTCAAGATTCAAAATTCCAATGAAAGTTAAAGTGCCCAAGTCTAGAGAGCTTATTCTTTTGTGTGACTATGAAGCTAATATTTGCTCATTTGATAGTGGTAACTATTTGTCTTAAGCAGTAATGTTTTTATTAGTAATTAGAAATTTGTAGGAATAATAATTGCTTATATACTGACTACAAAATAGCCACTCATTTTACAGAGAAAGTGATACCTTTGTGAGCCAATTATTTTCATAGTTTTCCATATAATTAAAATTGACTTAAACTTTTAGAATAAGAAACTAACAATTTCTTATCTGAATCCTTTTCTATAATTGAATTTAGATTTATACTGTCAGAATCTGTATTTCATATCCTTAATAAAGTCTCACTTGTGAATAAAGTACAATTTTTAAATTGAGCACCTGAAAGAGAAAAGCTAAAATAAAGGTTATTGTTGCAGAAATTACTGCATTATGGTGAAAAAAAACACATTATTTACCATCTTTGCAATGTTTAAATTTTGAATTTTGAATTTATTCTTGTACAGTTTTATATGATTTTTATTTTTAAAAAGCTAGAAGTTTACCTTGATCGGGTTAAATATAAAGCATCTTGTCTTTTTAATATGAATATAGTGGCTGAATGACATTTTTAAATGCATAAGGGCCTGATAATCAGGATAATAAAAATATTATACTGTAAGTAGAAAGTCTATTGTGATAAACAAAAAAATCTCTTTGAAGATATCTCTTATCTGGTCTAGCAATGTAATAATTTTTCACATCCCAAGATTGGTCATGCATGAAAGTTTTATTTTACAGTGCCTGTCATATAGAATATGCTCAGTAAATATTTGTTGAATGAATTACTTTCTGGTTTTAATCACAGGATTAAATGTCAGATGTTGAAAGTATTTACAATACAGCAGAAACTTTTGTCAAAAAGAAAACATTTAAATAGAGGGAAGAATTTTGTAAACCTTATAAGCTAGGAAATATTCACTTGGTATACATATTGGTGAGTTAAGAACTGAAATAGTTTAACATAAAAATGAAAGAAAAAAAGAATACTGCCCTAACCGGTTTGGCTCAGTGGATAAAACGTTGGCCTGCAGACTCAAGGGTCCCATGTTCGGTTCCGGGCAAGGCATGTATCTTGGTTGCAGGCACATACCCAGTAAGAAGTGTGCAGGAAGCAGCTGATCAATGCTTCTCTCTCACCAATGTTTCTAACTTTCTAACTCTCCATCCTTTTCCCTTTCTCTCTGTAAAAAGTCAATAAAATATATATTTTTAAGAAGAATACTTGAAAAGCAAATTTATTTCAAAAATTATTTTGTAAATTTAGTGGTAATTTGAAAGATCTAATACACACATAACTGAAATAATAAAGAACCTCTTGAAGTTGAAGGACTAAAGGCATAAGAAGCCATTTCTGTGGAAGAGTGGATAGAAAGAAGCTGACTTGCCTAAACAAATGCTGTACAGTAACTTGAGGCAAATTAGAACCTAAATCTGATTACCCAAAAAAGAATTCGAGGAAATAGCAAATAATTAAAGGACTAAGATATATTTCTTTATGCTACTGCCTAAAAAGGAATCTAGAAATTAATTTCACTTGAAATAAGTTAAACAAATGACATTGTTCAATTATGTGATTTATAGAATTATATAAAGTTAGAATTAGGAAGGCTTTAGGGTAATCTCATCTCTTATTACTCAAAGTATGGTCCTTGGACCAGTGGCATCAGCATTACATGGGAGCCCATGAGAAATACAGAATCTCAGGCATCACCTCAGACTTTCTGAACTAAAACCTGCATTTTAAGATCGGGTGATTCTTGTTCACATCTGTGTGTGAGGACCTGGTCTAGTCCAGGCCTCTCACTTATACAACTGGCATGTATTGTTTATAACATTATACTGTACTATATATTTAGCACTCTACATGACTCTACAAAAGATAAAATCTAGCTCCTCCTTGCTAGGAGATTAGTCTATTTGGAGAAAGAAACAACAAAAATCAATAATAGTAATATAATAATTCTTGGATGAGTACTTAGCAGATGCCTGCCAACTGCCAGCCGTAACAGACACAATCTTAGCCTGTGGAGCTTTGAGTCTGGAGTGACAGACATGAAAGAATTACACAAATAAAAACCAGCTTTTGGAGGGGCGGGAAATAATAGAATATAATAGAAGGATAAAATGTAGTTCAGGGAATAAGGGAAGGTCTCAGGAAGTGATCTTTAAGCTAGGAGCCCAGCCGGTTTTGCTCAGTGGTGGAGGGTCTACCTGTGAACCTGTAGGTCACTGTTCAATTCCCAGTAGGGCACATGCCCGGGTTGTGGACTTGATTCCCAGCAGAGGACATGCAGGAGGCAGCCAATCAATGTTTTTCCTCATTGATATTTCTATCTATCTCTCTCCTTCCCTCTCTGAAATCAATAAAAACATATTTTAAAAAACACTAGAAAGCAAGAAAACATAACCATCATAAATGTGCTTGGCAATATAGGCAAAATAGTTAATAAAGTTAACTTTAAAAAGAATAAGAAGTTAACCAAGTAAAAAAGAAGTATTCTTTTCTCTCTCTCTCTTTTTTTTTTTAATATATTTTATTGATTCTTTACAGAGAGGAAGGGAGAGGAATAGAGAGTTAGAAACGTCGATGAGAGAAACATCGATCAGCTGCCTCCTGCACAACCCCCCACTGGGGATGTGCCTACAACCAAGGTACATGACCTTGTCTGGAATCGAACTTGGGACCTTTCAGCCCACAGACCAACACTCTATCCACTGAGCCAAACTAGCTAGGGCGAGTAGTATTCTTGACCAAAGAATTTACATGAGAGGAATAAGAAATCGTGCTTGTCTTAGCCTGGTTGGACTGCCATACAAAATACCAGAGGATAGGTGGCCTAAACAACAGCAATTTATTTTCTCATAGTTCTAGAGGCTAGAAGTCCAAGATTAAGGTGCCAACATGGTTGGTTTCTTTCTCTTTTTTTAAGTCTGCAGGTCGATGCTCTATCCATTGAGCCAAACCAGTCAGGACAACATGGTTATTTTCTAGTGAGAACTCTCTACCTGGTTTGTAGAATGTCTGCCTTATTGCTTCCTGCTCACATGGTCTTTTCTATCTGTATGCATGTATGCAGAGAAAGAGAGACTCTGGTGTCTCTTACTCTTCTTAAAACGGTACCAGCTCTACTGGATTAGGGCCTCCATCCTTATGACCTCATTTAATCTTTATGACCTCCTTTTTTTTTTCTTTTTTCCTTTTTTTATTAATCTTTATGTCCTCCTAAAGACCTTGTCAAACAAACATTCTGTCCATAGCAGTATATTTTATTAACTAAGAGAAGTCTGTGGCTGAGATTTAGAGAAGACAAGCCTGAAGTAATGAGCATTTTATATTGTATCAAGAGAAAGTAGGAAATAACATTTTCTATATTTTAAGATCACTCTTGTGTGGATTAGAGTACAAGTAGAAGAAACCAATTAGGAAACTATTGCAATAACTCAGATAAGTGATGAGTATAATCTATACTAATAATAGAGGAATATGCAAACTGCCCAGGACACCATCACAATAACAATAATGACCAGCAGGCTGCCTGGGGTGACAAGGCTGGCAGGGAGGTTAGTGAGGGACGACCAAGGCTTCATGGGGCAACCAGGCTGGCAGATAGGTTAGTGAAGGACAACCAAACGACTGAACAGCAGGCAGTGTGGGACAACTAGGCCTGTGGGAATGGGGGTGGGGCGCAGTTGGGGACAATCAAGCTGGCAGGCAGGTGAGCAGTTGGGAGCCAGCAGTCCCGGATTGTGAGAGAGATGTCTAACTGCTGGTTTAGGCCCGATCCCTGGGGGCAAGGAGTCCCAGATTGGAGAGGGTACAGGCTGGGCTGAGGGGGACCACCCCTCCTCTGCCGCCCCTGTGCACAAATTTCGTGCACCATGCTTCTAGTAGGAAATATAAATATATAGATATATTTGAGATATTTTGTAAATACAACAAATGGGACTTGACCTCTATTAGACCTGAAGAATCAGAAAGGTATCAAAGATGATTACTTCCAGATATTTTGCATGGCACCTGGATAGATGTGCAATTTACTGAATTGGGGTGGCTGAAAGAGGAAAACTCTTGGGGAAAGATAAAAAGTTCAGACATGTTAAATTTTATATATTGGTAAAAACATATAGAAAATAGTGGTTGTACTAGTGGAACTCAGAAAAGCAGTCTGGTTGGAAATGAAAATTAGGAAATAGTAATCCACATATCAGAGCATTTAAATATAAGGATTGCCTGGGG